TAACTTGAAGTTACATAAAGAAATATAAAATATTAATGCCAGTGACAGTAACTTCATAAGTAAATGTAAGAGCCATTACAGGATAATGATGCCTAATCTCTTTTTTTTTTTTTTTTTTTTTGTTTTGGTCTTTTTGAGACAGGCTCTCACTATGCAGTTCAGGCTGGCCTTGAATTCACTTTGTAGCCCAGACTGGTTTTGAACTCACACAGTCCTCCTGCCTCAGCCTCCCAAGTACTACAATTACAGATGTGCACCACCACACCCGGCCTAATCTAAAATCTATAATCCAAAATGCTCCAAAGCAACTCTTTTTGCAAGTGCCAACATGATGTCATAAATGGAAAATTCCACCATTGGCCTGCGCCTCCTAATCAAAAGGCAGATGCACCAAAAATATGGTATGCGGTTACCTTCAGGCTCATGTGCAAGGTGTATACAAAACATAAGCGAATTCGGTGTGTGTGACGCTCATGCCGTACCGTGCTCTCCACTCTGCTCAGTGGTGAATTCTGATGCATGGACTATGATTTCTCAGTCAGTTCCAGGGGAACTGCGCCCTTGCTGTCCACGGTGGTCATCAGCTCCATGGAAGGCCCTTTCGTTCGCTCTCCCTCACCCCACTTCTCCGCTGACCCCTGCTTTTTAAGAAGTCTAAGCTAGGTGTCACGTGTCTGAAAGATCGTAGGGATGCCTGTGTTTAGAAAGTGGGGAAAAGAGACCATCGCCAGCTCCGACACACGGTCAACCGCCATTTCACAAACCACACTCCATCCTCAGACGGCGCCTTTGCCCCGCCTTCATTGCTCCCGGGAAGCATGAGCACTCCGGTCTGAGCCCTGCAGGCGGCCGGCCCTCCTAGCACCTCCTGAGCTTACTTCTGCTGCCCACTGATGGAAAGCAGCGGGAGTGTTTGCTCTCGGGGAACGCATGTGCAGCCCCGTGGGGAGATGCCAGGCGGGACAGCGAGGGTGCGGAACACGAGAGGCCCAAGGCGCGGGGCCTCCCCTTTCCAGGGTTCTCTGAGACAGGACATCTGTTTTAGGCATAGTCCTGTTTGAACACGAGGGCTTTGGGGGTGTTTCTTCCTCTTCCTGATCCCTGGTGGTGGCACTGGAGGCCTTTAGCCCACCTTGTATATGACTAGAGTACTCTGGCTACTAATACGTGCAAACATCATGACTACCGCTGTTATTTATTAGGAGCTTATGGTGGGGGGGGCGGTCCTCATTATGTGGTTCAGGCTGGCCTTGAACTCACCATGTAGTCTAGGCTGGCCCTGAACTCACAGAGATCCTCCTGCCTCAGCCTGCCCTGCCAAGTGCTGAGGTCACAGTCATGTGCCACCATGCCCTGGGGTGAGGTGTCTCTCGAAGATCTTTTCTAGCAAGTTCTAGAGAACCTGTGAGAGGCTTTGCTTGTCACACACCTTGGTCCAGACACCTCCCCGAGGCTCTGCAGGTGCCGAGCCAGCCCCTCTGCCAGGCCGGACCCAGCGCAGGCACTGAGTAATCCCTATAGGACTCAAGTGCTGCTTAACACAGAGCTGGGTCAGGGGGACAATTGGTGTGGAAGGTTAAGTATGACCCCAGACCTTCAGGTCACCAGGACCCACACCCACCTCTCTGCACTGTAACTGCTGTTCCGTGTCGGTACCTCTGTTTCCTTTCACTGTGGCTCTGGGGGTGGAACCCAGGCCCTCACATGTGCCAGGCCAGCGCTCACCACTGAGCCGCACCTCGGCCCTGTTCCCAGCTGTCCTGACAGTTTTACTTTTCAACAGGGACAGCATACAACCCCAAAGGCAAACCATTGCATTCTGGAGCTCCATTTTCTAATTTCACGTTTTCCTGACCCACGTCCATCTCCCAAGTAATGCTGCTTATCTTATTAGACTCATTGATTCCTGGGTGAAATCAGTTATATTTTTGCTTGAAACACATTATGCAGTGGACTGTTGCAAAAGTCTGCTTGAGCTTAAAACTTCCTGTCGCTGCACGTAGGTCTGGGGCAGGATTGTGGCCTCCTCCGGACAGGCCAGGGGCTGGGGAAAGTTGTGGATGCGCCCCAGGACGGTGAAGCTGCTTTCACCCAGCTGCCGGGTCCCGAGATGGGCTGCCATTCCTGCAAATATTCCATCCATTTGTTCCTTCCTGGCTAATTGCGCGAACTAACACAGAACACCTCCTCGGCTTACATCTTGGCAGCCCCAGAAACTTGTGTTTTCTAGAGACAAAATGAGAAGCAGATTTCCTGGACCCATCTCTCAGTCAGCTCCCCGCAAAGACGTGGACCCCCATGTCCCCCCAGTGGCTGTAGTCCATGCAGAGCGAATGTCCCAGTCAGGGTGCCCTGGGGTGAAGGAGTAGAACGGGACGGAAGGGGAAATGGGCTCGGGCACAGGTTTTCACAGCGATGGGGGGAGCTGGTTTTCTTCTGTCCTTTCTACTTAGGTGAGAGCTTGCCTGGCACACGCGGATCCTGGGATCCATCCCCAGCACCGCAGAAGAAAAGGAAACCTTAGAGGACCCTCATTTTCCCCTGTACCAACCAGACAGAAACAACTGAGCATGCGCTGTGGAAAGGAAGGGCTATGGCTTCTCTTCTGTTCATAATGTTGACAGTCAGCATCTTGGGGGAGTTTAAGTCCTTGCAAAATTAAATTATTGAGGAAATATCTTTATTTGCTCCATCTGTCACAGTGAAATGAGAATCCATTCTCTTCTCTATAAAATCGCATCATTCAATGGGCAGATATCTACTGTACAACTACTTCACTGAGGGCCTGGAGGGAACCCGCATAAAGGGTGCCTCTGTGTCTGGGCCTTTGTTCTCACCTAGAAATTGAATGGCAGAGACGTTTATCCAAACCAGGGATATTAAAGGAGGGCCACACACTGCTACGCGAAGACAGAATGGAGAGCTTTAAATTGGAGGCTTCCCCGGGCGAGGTGGCATACATCTGTATCCCAGAACTCAGGAGGCTGAGGCAGGAGGATCACTGTGAGCCTGGACTGCACAGTGAGACCCTGTCTCAACCCCGCTCCCAAACAAAAGGAAGCATGACTTAGCATGACAGTGAGTCACTGAAATGTTATATTAAAAATGAAGCAAAAGTAAACCAATAAAATGGCGAATGACCAGTTTTTCCTGCAGCTCATGTTCCTACAGAGATGCATACTACCTCTAATTCAGTCAACCTTTATTCTGCACACGGGACACTCCAGCAGGCACATGAGAAGCAGCTGACAGACTCCCCCCTCTTGAGGATACTGCCCTGTAGACCCTCGAGGTGGCCTCTGATATAAAAGCAACCGATGCTAAGAAAAACTGACAGGGAAGTGAAAGGAAGCCTGCCGAGGAGATGGGTAGTGCACAGAGTGGCTGGGGCTGGGCTGTTCAGATGAGTTTGGAAGCAGCTGGGCAGTGCCTGTGTCATTAGGAGTACAGACTTTTGCTGGATGTCATTGAGACCCCGCGTGACCTTTACACTATCGCAGTGCACATTCCTCTTCGCGGTGTGTAGTGTTTACACTGTAACCCAGATAACCGAGGCTTGTTTGGGTACTCACTGTATAGATAGCCAGTCGCAGGAACCCACAGGGCCCGAAGGAGCCCCTCGCAGCCTGAGGCGCCCACGGAACCAGTCTCCCTGTTGGGCTTTTCAAAGCACTTTGTTGTTCTTACGAAGACCACAACTGAGATCTTTGGTTTCGCTCACAAGTCAGCGGCTGAGAGCAGATCCCTCAACTCGCGGCTCACTGGGAAGCGCAAGAGGCCCTTCCTTCCCAGACGCCTCGAGAGCACAGCCCTTTCTGCACGATGGCAGAGGAGGGGACGGCTGCCCACGAGGGCGTCCGGCTCACTGCAGTTGGAATCCCCGCCTCCGAGCCCATGGGCCTTGGAAAGTCACCGGACTTCTCTAGCCCTGGTCTATACAGCGGAGAGAAGATCTCAGATTACATGCGGTGAAAGGCAGATCATGGCCAGAGCTTTGGAGGTGCTGGGCACATCAGTTTGCGTCCCTGCCCCTTCTGCTAGATTCCCCAGCCCCTTGTCCAGTCATCAGTTCATTTCATGTCCACTGAATACCCCGGGAACAGCTCCTGGGCCAGGCTTTTAGTTCAGTGGTGCGGCAGTGGCCGCTACCAGGACAGAGACACCTCTGGTTCCAGCAGCCCCAGAATCGCTTCGTCCCCAGGGCTGGCAATCCTGAACCTACTCAGCTCTGCGCTGGGATTTTCTGACCAAAGAGTTAACATTTAAATGACACCTGGCAGCGAGAAGGATTTGTGCGGCGTGTGGCGTCCTGGGCAGGCCGTGCTGAGACTAGTTTATTCTGCAGCCTGAGCACCCGTGCGAGCGTTTCCCCCTGTCTTTATATTGATTCCTGTTTCTAGCTCCGCTGGCTTTTGTTTTGGTTTCATCTTGGGAATGGCTTTCAGATTAGTGCCAGCCTGGGGACAGTGTTGACATTCTCACCAGTGACAGTCTCGTGGCCCACGTGGCCGGCCCTCACCTGACCGCTCCCACGTGAGCACCACCTCTCTCGCTGAAGAAAAGTTGTCTACGCAGAAAAGATAAACACTTGAAGCAACTGTTCGTAGTACTTGAAGTATTTGTTCATAGAAGCGTCCTGCCTTTTTTTCAGTGATTCATTTTAATTTAGTATTACCTTAGGAACAATACTGCTTTAGAACATAGTTAAAGAGTAAGCTCATTTGTGTAAATTTGACTTACTAACTATGATACTACACAAAAACCTTCTAGTAACACAAGTGGGCATTTGTGGGGTGTCTGTGGGCATCTGGGCTGTTGCGGGTTTTCTTTGGATGCCCAGGTAGCGGTGACTTCTTACCTGCCGCCTCCTGCTTGGCTCCGAGAAGCTGGCAGTGTCCTCGTGGCCACAGTGATGACCCAGACGAGCTCGCTCATCACCTTGCGCTTCCCTCCGCGTGTCTCTGGGACCGAGCTTGCTAAGCCTCTCGCTTCCATTGCAGCAGTCACCATGGTCGACACAGAGATGCCGTTCTGGCCCACCAACTTCGGGATCGGCTCCATGGACCTCTCGGTGATGGACGACCACTCTCACTCCTTTGACATCAAGCCCTTCACCACGGTCGACTTCTCCAGCATCTCAGCACCACACTACGAAGACATCCCATTTCCAAGGGTGGACCCAATGGTTGCCGATTATAAATATGACCTGAAGCTCCAGGAGTACCAAAGTATGATGTTTCTGTTCACTTTTCAGACCGCTGACCCTGGACGGGGCGGGTCGCTCCATAACCCTGGAGTAAGTGCTCCAGAATAAGTGCTGTAAAGAGAAGGCAGTTACCCTGTGTGATTCACCCACCTAGTCATGAAATAAGAGCTATTCGTGATATGCAAAAAAGAAAGGTGTTGTATCAGTGACTCTCTTCCTTTCCTCCTCCCTCCTCTCACTCCTCTTTTGCTTGTCTTGCTTTTTTTTTCTTTTTTGAGACAGGATTTCACTACATAGTTCCAGCTGGCCTTGAACTCTCTGTTAGCGCAGGCTGGCCTCGAGTTCATGGCAATCCTCCTGCCTCAGCCTCCTGAGTGCTGGGATCACAGGTGTGTGTCATTACACTCCATGAGGAGCATTTTCTAGCATGTTTCACTGCCAGCTGTATCTCAGGCTAAGACTGCATCTTCCAAACTTTAGTTCTTCTGATTTTTATAAGTGAATAGGTAGTACTTGCAAGTTACTTTGTAGAATAACTTCTCATTCCTAAGGGACTATTACTGTAACTTTTTATTTTCTAAACTTTTTTTTTTTTGGTTTTTTTCTCCAGTACCGGGAACCGAACTCACGACCTTGCACTTGCCAGGCAGGCGCTTTGCCGCTGAGCTAAATCCCGAGCCCCTTTCTAAACTTTTTTTATGTTCTTTTTTTTTTTAACCTTCATCATTTTTTTTCCTAACCCTTAGTTTTTGTAATGTACCCTGACATACATTTGGGGGGTATACAAATTTACACTCTAACACGCTAGCCTACTGATAAATTTTCATGCCATTAAGGAAATTAACATCAAAATATCAGATGCAAGAAAAACCAGAACTGTAGTTTTCAAGATAAAGTGTAACTTCTGTGCTGCTGCTGCTTTGATTTTTATCTTGCCGTGGGCTGATGTGCTGGTTTCCCAAAGCCACCGCTGTGTCATTGGCAACCATCATTTGACAATAAGTAAGAACTTCCTGTATTTCTGGGTTTTTCTTAGATAAATGGTATAGCTGGTTATATTTATCAGTGTGGCTTTCAGTTTGAGCCTAATATGGAAATTTAACAGGCCTGGCCCCAAGCAGTGGAAAACATTTCTCTCTATTGAAGATCGGGGCCAAGCCACCAGTTGTGCCCCAGCCCCGCGGCTGCCCCCTGGGTGTGCTTCCTTGAGTCCCTTCGGGCTGGGCTTACGGTGACTTAGCGCAGCTCCTTCTGCCTTCCTGCAAAAGCGGTCTGACTTCCAGATGACTGAAGAATTGTTTCACGTCACCAGCCCTTGTTTTCCTGGTTTCGTGTGTTTGAGTCTTTGACCCATCAGAGGACATTCTGGTGGAAAGAAGGGGATGTTAGAGTATAAAATGGGGCACATAATTCTAAAATGCACCACAGAAATAAACGCCATGGTGGAAATACAAGCCATGGTTTAACGGTGGGCGAATGCTAGACAAAGCTCATCCCGGCCACCAAGCCGTCGTGTCACCTGGCCCATGCAGTCTGTCGGAGCCTGGCCGTCTCAAGCACTGAGGGGCTTAGGTTCCGTCCCCATAGCACTTCCCAGGTGAGGCTCGGAGGGGTTGTGACAGAGCCTGACCACTCTGCCTTCGTACTGTTTGTACTGTCCCCGCTGAAGTAGGTAAGGTGCGGCCGCCGCTGCTGGTGCTAACAGCCTTGTCCATGTGTCACGCACAGGTGCCATCAAGGTGGAGCCTGCGTCTCCCCCATATTATTCTGAGAAGTCTCAGCTGTACAACAGGCCTCCTGAGGAGCCCTCCAACTCGCTCATGGCCATTGAGTGTCGCGTGTGTGGGGACAAGGCCTCCGGCTTCCACTACGGAGTCCACGCCTGCGAAGGGTGCAAGGTATACAACCATCCCCAGAGAGGCTGCCGGAAACTTAGCTGCTGGCGTTCCTGCAGCAGATTCGTCCCAAGGGCTGGGATAAAATCATCACTTTTCTTTTTATTTTTTTCCATTGGAAGAACTCATTGTTCTAGTGAGATGGTATTTGAAAAACTGATAAAAGCAAGGTTGCTTCACCGACTTCCCTTCCTCAGAGTGGTCCTTTCAGATGGAAAAACAGAAGAAGAAAATAGATAAAAGAGACCAGGCATGGTGATCCACACCTGCAATCCTTGGGACACTCTGGGAGGCTGAGGCAGAAGGATTACAAGTTCAAGTCCATCCTGAGTGACTTAGCAACTTACTGAAATCCCTGTCTCAAAATAAGAGCTGAGGATGTACCTCAGTGTAAAAGGCCCTGGGTTCAGTCTCCACTACTATGAGAGAGAAAAAGAGAGAGAGACAGACAGACAGAGAGAGACAGAGAGAAAGAAAAAGAAAGAAAAGAAAGAAAGAAAAGAAAAGAAAAGAAAAGAAAAGAAAAGAAAAGAAAAGAAAAGAAAAAAGAAAAGAAAGAGAGGTAAGAGTAAAAACAGAAGTTTTATGGAGTCTACAGCAGTGAAGAGTACTGTTTTAGTGTTTATCAGTCATATTTAAACAACTTTGGAGATGCTGGCAAAACGCTCAGTAAAATCCTTACATCTTCTTCTCATTTCTTGAAAAAGCCAAGCAACAAGCAAACAGGGGGTTGTGATGGACTCGGTGAGGGGGAAGACAGTAAATGCAAGTTTCAAGGTGAGCACGGCGGGGTCTGCACAATTCAGTTCAGGAATTTCTGTCCACTGCAGCGCAGACATGATTTCAGGGTGATTACTCTCAAGCACTGAGAGGCCCTGTATCATCACAACAGGACTATGATTCATTGTTGAAGGCGTCCTATGAGTCAAGCTCAAAATTTGCATTATGAGGGTTAACCTTAAATAACATCATTCTCTTACAAAAACTGGCCTCAGCAGCCAGACCTCAAAACTGAGTACTGACCCAGCCCTTTGCCACTGAGCAGCACTGAAGCTTCTCATCGTCATTGTTTTGTGTGTTTGTTGTTTGGTTGATTGGTTGGGGTTTTTGTTTCTCGTGGCTGTGCTTCAATAAAGCTTTATTTACAAAAGCAGGCAGCAGGGTGGATTTGACCCATGGGCTACTCACTTATCAGCCCTGGGTCTAGACTTGCACTGTTTTTCATTTTAAATTCTGTTTGTTTTTTGTTTTTGTTTTGTTTTGTTTTGTTTTTCCCGGTACCAGGAATCGAACTCACTACCTCGCGCTTGCCAGGCAGGCGCTGTGCCGCTGAGCTAAATCCCCAGCCCCCCATTTTAAATTCTGATGAGAACTGGTATTATAAAATTCGCCCTCTTTTTTTCCTTCTTCTTTTTGGTACCAGGAATTGCACTCAAGAACCTTGTGTTTGGGGCTGGGGATTTAGCTCAGCGGCAAAATCGCCTGCCTGGCAAGCGCAAGGTCGTGAGTTCGGTTCCTGGTACCGGAGAAAAATCAAAAAAAAAAAAAAAAAAAAAAAAAAAAAAAAAAAAAGAACCTTGTGTTTGCCAGGCAGGCACTGTGCCAGTGAGCTATATCCCCAGCCCAAAATTTACCTTCTTAACAAGTTTTTAAATGTGCAATATAATATTGTTGCCTATAGCCACAGTGCTGCACAGCAGATCTCTAGGATTTATTCAGCTTGTGGAACTGAAGCTTTAAACCCACTGAATAGGAATTTCTACCCCCCCTCCCCCCGCCCCAAACCCCTGGCAGCCATTATTCTACTCTGTTTGTGGGAGTTTGACTTTTTTTAATTTTTGTTTTATTTTACTTTATCAGTACATGTTTTCGGTACACAATATTTACTTCTTGTCAGAGTTGGAACTAGTTTTAAAAAGAGTAAACGAGACACAGATCATCATAAACTCTGTGCTTGCAGTGGCAAAAAGAAAAATCTCACCAACCTTTTTCAGTGAGAACAGTTCTGTGCGCTAGCCTTCCTCTGGCCAGTGAAAAACAAAACAAAAACGAAAACAGCTTTGTCATGTCCAGCGGTCCTCGGAATGATTAGAAAATCAAAGAAGCTTCAACTTCCAGCCGACCCTAGCGGGGACAAGCTCTTCTGGATACTGATGGTCTCCCAAACGACAGGAAAAGAAGGCGGAAGCATAGATAGCAAGGCCCTGGTCTGAGCCAGGAGCAGCAGGCTGGCCTGGAGGGCAGGGTTTTCCTCGCCTCCAAGACAGCAGGAGCTGCACCAAGTTCTGAGCCCCTGGGAGGAGGGGCCTAGCCGGGGCTTCCCCACTGAGCGGGATGGCTCTGCAGGCCCCAAGTCAGTGGCACCCAGCTCTGGCAGAAGCATCTCCAAGTTTTCCTTGGAGAAAAGATTTCCCATTTTAAACCTCATAGGATTTCCACAGTTTAAGGTCAAGAAATGATTGCAAAATAAAATATCAGCAAGCACATAGCAAGGGCATCACCTTGAATGACCTTCATAATAAAAACAAACCAAGAAAAACCTGACATAAACTTCCCCACCCCCACCCAAGAAAAGTGGATGGTGGAACTGCCAGGTCCAGAATACGGAACACTACGCAAGGGTTGTGTAAAGACAGAGCAGGGGCCCCGGCAACAAACCAGCGGCAGCAGACATGGGAACTGAGCAGACAGACTGGAAACCAAATCAAGTGAAACTTCTCAAAGGGAAATGGACAATGATTGCAAGAAAAATTCGACGGAAAGAAGGGTCAAATAGAACATGAGACACAACATAAGAAAAGATGACAGAACAAGAAAGGAGACCAAATGAAGTCACCCGATATGAGAATAACCCTGTCCTGAAGAATATACCTTTCCCAGGATCTGCTAGAATTCAAAACTTCTGTAATTACTGAATGGATAAAAGAACCCTTGAATGGAAAAAAAAAACTTATTTATTTACTTACTTATTTTTTGAGACAGAGTCTCACTATGTAGTGCAGACTAGCCTTGAACTCACAACGATTCTCCTGCCTCAGCCTCCCAAGTGCTGGTATTACTCGTGTGTGGTGGCACCCAACAAGCCCCTGAATGTTAAAAGAGTCTGTTCTCTCCACTCAGCCACAGCAGAAGGAAGTGCAGAAATGTCTCACTGATGAAATTCAGAGTAAAATTTTTTTTTAAATTTTCCAGTCTAATTACATATTTTTGTGTGGTTTCATTGGCTACTATTCTGCTTTTCTTACATTTGCAATCAATGTTAATGGATAATTAGTGACAAAAAGATGGAAATTGTGATGTATTAATTACTGTTACTCTCCTAGTAGCCTATTTTGAAACTGTTTTATTGTTATTTTTACTGTTTCTGTTTAAAATTTTTTAAAAAGATGGAAAATACAAAGTTCAAAAATACAAAGACTAGAGAAAAAAGGTCTAACAAATGTCTAATTGGAGTCCCAGAGCTAACGAACTAATGAAGTAGAAAACTTGTCCAAGAAAATAAGTGAAAAGAAATCCCATGCCTGCACAGACATAAAACTGCAGAACCCTGGAGACAAAGACAGGGTATGAAGATAACCAATGAGAAAGGAAAAGTTCACCTTAAAAATTAATTGACAACACCAGGCATGGCACACATGTCTGTTATCTGAGCACTCGGGAGGCTGAGACAGAAGGATCACTGTATTTGAGGCCAGTCTGGAATAGATAGTGAGACCCTGGTCAAACAAACAAGCAAAATCAGTTGAGAGGAGGCTTCTTAGCAGCAACAATGGGAGCAGAAAAAGCAAAAGAGAATTCAGAGTGTAACAGGAAAATGACTGACGACTCTGTAATTGCTCAAGAACGAAGGTGACATGAAAATCCTCACAAGTTAAAAAAAAAATGAAAATAAAAACACTGGAAACCTGCATTCCAGGGACATCACCTTGAAGACAAAAGAGAGAAGTTATAAGCAAGACCTCTAACAGAGAACAAATTAACGTATAGGATATTGAAACAAAAGTAAAACTCAAGTTTAATCCAATCCATAAGAAACTGGGCAGTGGGCCGGGGGTGTAGCTGAGGAGTCGGAAAGGGGCGGGAAAGGAGCGTACATCACAGGCTGCTTCTGTGGCGCGTGAGGAAGTCAAAGGTGCTGCTGGAAACGAAACAAACTAGGGCGAAGTAAAGGGGACCGAGAGATCCAGAAGACAGGTGGGGACGGTGACAGAATGAAGGAAGGCACAAAATGAAGGAAGGCGGGGTAGAGATCTTGGAGAACTGAGGCGTCATCAAAACTTACAGTGAGGGAAATGGGGAGCTGTATACAGGCTGAACATCCCTAATCCTAAAACCCAAAATCCACAGTACCCCAAAGCCCAAACTATTTGAGCACCGACATGATGGACATGGATAATCCCACAGCGGACCTTGTGACAGGTCATACAGTCAAAACCACGCTCGCCAAGAATACTGTCTAAAATCACCTTCCAGCTCACGCTGTAAAACAGGGAATTTCACGGGTTGGTCTTCGGTTCCCTCCCCAGGTGCACATACGCAGATACTACAAGATTTGCAAAAATCCAAAACGCCCTTGGTCCCACGTCCCAGATGTGTTGAAGGGCCGGCTCTGCAGAAAGCCCAAGTGCATGTCAGTGGGAACCAAGTCAGGGATTTTGGTACCAAACAGGACCAGGCCCAGGTGACAGAATTAAGGACCGAGCTCAGTACGGATGGACAGGAGTCCTATGAACTCCGAGAGTAGAGTTAGGAGACATTTCCGATTGAAAATGGTTTTCAGCTCTCTCAGAAAGATACAGTGCACAGCCTAATGGTAGCTCCCAAAGGGTTGCCATTTTGTATGAGGTTTTCTGAGGATTTCTACATTACTGCTCAGGTTATTTCCCGCTATCTCTTCTTGTCTGTAGGCCGTGATGACGGGCACTCTGTCAACTACATAAATAAATGAAATGAATTCGGCAGGAAATTATGCAACAGTGAGAATTCCAAAAAATTATCCACATGTGGATTTTTATTGGCCCTGATCGTGTTTTAGAAGGAAGTGATTATAAGTTTGCCAAACTGCTTAGCACAGTTCTAAAGGCTGGGCATGCTGTCGGGGTGGTTTGCAGAGAGACTGCACTGATTTCATGGTGTGTTTCCTGCTTACATTAAGTCCAGAGGTCTCTGCAGTGCGGGCGGATAAGGCACGCGGAGAGCCAGGGTACGCCGAGTGACAGGAGCTGGACGTGGTCACACTGAGAAAGGATGCTGGAGGGCCTGTGCTTCTCTGCCTTAGAGCAAAGAAACTGAGAGCCAGAGAGGGACTCGTCCAAATCACCAGTAAAGAGCCTACCTTTTCTTTCTTTTTTTTTTTTTCCGGGACCGGGAATCGAACTCACAACCTCGCACTTGCCAGAGCAGGCACTGTGCCGCTGAGCTAAATCCCCAGCCCCGAGCTACCTTGTCTGATCCCCCGGCCGCGTGCCTGTAGCCGTAGGACACTGCTTCTGTGTGTCAAATGGACCTAAAGGTTGCTTCTTTTTTCCCCGTATCTCTCTGCAGGGTTTCTTCCGGAGGACCATCCGATTGAAGCTTATTTATGATAGGTGTGACCTTAACTGTCGGATCCACAAAAAGAGTAGAAATAAGTGTCAGTACTGTCGGTTTCAGAAGTGCCTGGCAGTGGGGATGTCTCATAACGGTAGGTGACACTTACCGTCGTGTACCTGGCCTTCCTCACTGTGACCGTCAAGGCCCACTGACGGAAATGTGTACAGTTCTTTCACTGAATGCCGGGTTTCCAGATGTTGCATGCTGACCAGATCTTTCTCGTGTAGGTCAGTGACTTCAAGCTTTTGGTGGTGAGCGCCTCTCTCTGTAGCTGGGCATCTGCAAGGGTGGGAAAAGACTTGAAAATCTGAGGGATTATGGGAAAAAGTATAGGGTTTTAAAAGAATATGGTGACAATTGTGCTTAATTTTTGTGTTCCTTTAACAGAATAATTCTTAGGTGCCTTGGTAGTTTCTGTCTACTTTACTCATAAGTGTAAGAAAATTCTGAAGATCTCTGGATATGGAATTTTAAATGGCATATCAAGATTTAGATTTATGTATTCTTTTTTCTTTTTTCTATGCAAAGATGAGTTTGGCACTATTTTTTATTTCAGAGAACATGCAGACTTGTAGAAAGAAGCAAGCAAAGTTTGTGAATTCTTACAAAACTTCAGTGCCACAGAAACATAAGAGAATACAATTTTTATTTCTCAGGCCTGTCTCTAAAATCCAGCTTGAGGCTGGAGGTATAGCTCAGTGGTCCAGCGTTTGCCTAGCGTGCCTGAGGCCCTGGGTTCGTGATCCCTAGCACCATAAAAACATCATCAAACATGTAAATTTGGGTGTGAAATAAGACCTGAGAAGACCTACGTTTTCATGAATTGCGGAGCTAACTCAATAAAATCACGGAAGATATGCCTGTTAGAAGAAATAATTCTTCATCAGTTCTGATTGGTTGGCCCACAAAACAAGTTTTAGCTGTAACTTGATAGTATTGTATTAATGAAGAATTAGTCAATTGTTTTATTTCAGAACTCCTTATGGGCTCGAGAAAACAATACCCAAGTGATCAAGTTAAATCAGAAGCCTCATTTTACGTGATGTCTATTTTCTGTCTTTTTTTCTTTTTGCCTGTGGTGCTGGGGAGGGGACCCAGAGCCTCCTGTGTGCTAGGCGAGCACCCCACCAAGCCACATCCCAGCTCTGATTTTTTTCTTTCTTTTGCTTTCATCTTTCGCAAAACTGATCTACCAAAAGGATGATCTTTCGGGTCAGTCTTCATCTATATGGACTCCAGTACGTTTGAGAAAACTTCATTTTTGTTCAGTCTTGCACATGTTTGGCCAAAACTATCAAGATATTTGGAACTCCCTGTGGGTTGATCCTGTCCTCTTCTAAATTAGCTTGCAAAATCCGAGTTGTTAATATGGGTCAGTTCTAAAGGTAAGAATGTATTATGTGTCAGGCTGTCAGCGGTACTGGACAGGGTGGGAATTTGGTCCAACTTTCCCCAACAACTGGCCACATCTGCTTTGTGGCCGTGGAAACTGCAGTCACTGATTGCAAAATAATTTGCTGGTTTAATTCCATTAGTTTCCTTCCTATTTCAAACCTCATAAAACATAAGGACAAGTTTGCAAGTCCAGGGCTATATTTTAGATGATGCAACCCAGTTGCAATATGCTTATTTCATCTGTATGGAGAAATCATTGACTTTGAGGTCATTAGCACCAAAACACGCCAGTTCTGCTTTTAGTGCTGTTCGTGCCTTGTCTGTTGGAAATCTGTCATTTTACACATCCGTGGGATCTCTCATTCCTAGTATTTATGGGCTCTACACACATGGATGTAAAACACATTTCCTGTTGCTTACAAGCAGAGCCCCACATTCACATAAAATACACCCCCTGTGGCTTACTGTTCATAAGCAAATATTATTTAAAGCCCAACCTACAAGCTGGGGTGTAATTCCATGACACTACAGGTACTTAGCATCCTCGAGAGCCTGGGTTCCCTCCCCAGCGCCAGAGAAGAAATGTTTCTAATAGGCTGGGGGTGCAGCTCAGTCGTAGAGCATTTGCTTAGGATGCGTGGAGCCCTGGGTTCCATGCCTAGCATCCCCAAAAGACTCAGTCCATGCAGTGTGGATGATGTAATTTTCTCCTCTAAGAAAAGTCAAAAAAAAGCTATCATGAGCTTGATAATAAGGCCACCTTTTCACTTCATGTAACAATTAATATATTCTATTTAGAGAGGGGGCAGTTGTGACAAGAGTGTTCAGTTCTTACCAAAGCAAGAGAAAATAGGAATTAAATTGATAAGAGCAGAGTCGCAGGCAGCACAGCCCTTAAAGGGCTGCAGACCTGTCCAGGAAAATCCCTGCTAAGAGTGGTCGTAGGACTGTGCTTGCTGCGCAGGCAGAAAAGCGTCAGGGGCTCTGCACACAAGAGGGAAAGCTGGGTTGTGGTTGCTGTGCATGTTACTCCCACGGAGAAAGCATCTAAATATAAAGCTTCTTAGGTGGCTGCAGTCCCTGTTGACAGTCCATTGCCCCGGCCAGCGCATGGCCTGGGATGAGGTTGCCATATACAAAAGTTCTTTCGGAGCTGCTGCTGAGGCACCGCATGTTACACCAAAGGCGGTACCCGCTCTCCAAAGTGTACGCAAGGGAATGAACACCCTAAAGTAACCTCACCCCAGTCTGTGTGACTTATTTCTGTTCTTTGGTCTCTGTTCAGATCATTTGATGTGTTTGGACAAGGCTTCTAAAATCATCTTCAAAACACCCAGAGGGCCCTCAGGAATACTATTGGAAAAACACTAAAATGAGGGATCCCTAACTCCTTTCAACGGCAATTTCTGATTCTTTATCATTAATCAACCTAAGTCACTGAACTTTTCATTTTCCCACCAGCTACTCCCTATCCTTTAGACAATGATATAATCTTCGCCTATGGCTAGGCACCTGGCATGACATATGGCTGAATATATAAGTTTCCCTCCGACGTGCTTTCATGCCATCAAAATATCTTTGAATCATCCAAGTCAGGTCTACATATTATGATCAATTGTTAAGGAACTTAAGGCAAACAGTTGCTGGCTATAGGGAGATGTATTCCAGGACTACACGCCCAAAGCAGATTGGTAGCAGAAGATATAAGTGCTATACTGGATGCTACATGGTGAGTTCATCAGCACTACAAGAAATACCTGGGATAAATCACCTTACAGAGAGGGAAGGTTATCATGGTGCACAGTTAGGGAGGTTTTAGACACTGGTCTCTAGTCCCTGGTCTAGTTCCTAACCCTAACCCTAACCCCAACCCTAACCCTAACCCTAACCCCTATTACTCTGGGCCTATGGTAACACAACACATCATGGTGGAGACAGGAAGCAGAGAAAGCCATTCCCCATATGGCCAGGGAGTGGAGAAAGAGAAAGGGCCCAGGTCCCTAAAACCCCGCCCAGGTGCACCCTGGGGACCCAGTGTCCCCAACCTCTGGAAGGTCCCACACCTCCAGGTAGCCTCAGGCTGGGCACCTTCAACACACGGCTGTTGGACGTTCCTGATCTAGACTACAGCACACAGTCACAGCTCACCAGGTAGAACTTCCATCTTGATTGTCCACAAGGTACTGGAAGAACAGAATCCTTCCCACTGGACACAGTTTCTCAAAGAGAAATACGGGTGCTTCTCAGATATCGGTTTTCAGCATTTTTTTGGAAAAAAAAAAAAAAAAAAAAGCATCCCGGTGTTGAGTGGATTTTGACGTGATTGGAAACAGTTGTTGGGTTGTAATCTTCCCGTAAGTCATCAAGACAAATGCATGCACCAAATATTTTGGTCATGTAAAAATCCATCATTTCTAGACCACAGTTCGGCCCCACTGGTTACCCAGAAGTCTTCCTGAGTCACCCCCAAGCACAGTCACCTCTGTAACTGGTCTAGACACCACCTTCAGAAGAAAGCTCGAAATGAAAGGAAGCAGGAGCAGAGAGCAACTGCGCAGGCTCCCCGGAGTGGCCATCACCTAATAAGTGACTGTGCACCAGCTGCTGTTGCTGGGGAGAATCCCATCCAGTGCCATGTTACTTGTCCAGGCCACAGGCCCTTTGCACGTACTGTCAGAGTTGTACCCTGTAGATGTTCTTGTTTTAAAAACCTACTGTCAGGTCCTTGATATTAATCATATTTTAAAAACACATCCTCTTTATTTTAATAAAGTAAGTTAATCATTAAGAATTTTGATGAGTGACTATTTCAGAGTTGCTTTCCATATGTGAACTAAATAATAAGTTTAGGGGAAATATAGTTTAAAAATAATCTAAAGTAGAGAAAAATTGTCTTGTGTTATCTAAGAGTCACTCAGTTAGGTTTTTCCTACAGCGTTGACATTTGATTAAAATAGTACTTTTCATAATTTTAAAAATTAGCGAAACCTTAGTTTTGCTGATTAGGATGTCCTATGATATAAATGATGTGGACTTTTCTCTTTTCTTTTTTTTAAATGCTGACAGCTTTAAAAAAAAATAGTTTGTCAGGGGCTTCATGAAAATCTGGACAAATGGTTTCACGAATTTGTGGTGCTCAGCAATTTTAAAGTAGTTGTCTCCATGCCTTGCAGACAGTAGCTCATGTGTATTAGGAAAGGGGGTCCTGAATGTCACATAGCTTTAAACATCAACGTCTTACTTTAAAAAAAATCTTTGCTATGGTTTGGATCTCCGACATCCCTGAAAGGCTCCGGGCTTGAAGGCTTGATGGCCATCCCCCAATGCTATTAGGAGGTGGGGGGACCTTTAGAAGGTGGGGCCTGGTACAGGAAGTGAGGTCATTGGGCACCGCCCTGATAAATGTTAAGATCTCAGCACTTCCTGTCTCTCTTTGCTTGCATCCCAGCCCCCAGGAGGTGAACAGACCTCCTGACCACAGGCTCCCACCTGATCTACAACGCTTCTGCAGGCCAACACTGGGCCCACAACGGGATCTTGTTTGTGGTATGGAAGAAAATTACCCAGAACAGTAAGAAAGAAGGAACTGAGGAAAATCTCAGAAGCTGGGTATAGTGGCCTATAATCCTAGCACTCAGAATCACTGCAAGTTCACAGCCAACCTGGGCTACCTAGTGAGTTCCAGGCCAGCCTGAA